TGCTCTAGCTGCCTAACAAGCGGACCCAAGCTGAGACTCGTACACAGAAACACCCACCCACATACAGACACACACTTTACAGACAGAATAATATAAGCACATAGCATTTTTAAAGTCATGATATCAAGTACTTTACCTAAGGCATTACCAAATGGAATTTTTGCTTTTAAGTGCGTGGGATTGTGTGTCAATTCTAGAAATATTTTCAGGAGATGGAAACTCCGGCAGAGAGAGACGTTGGAGCCTACAGCCAATTGTTCACTCTTTGCACATTCAATACAACTATGCAGAGCTAGTGTTCATAACCAGGCGTGAATTATTAGAGAATTTTATCGTTCTCGATCAGTGAAAGATTATCCTCTAAGATCGATTTTGTACTCTCTTAAACTGGCAGGATTCTTCGCCAATCTTAGTGATACATCTCAGAAAATGACATTTTGAAAGGAAGTTTGGATGGACTTTTTGCATCTTTTAAGTTGAAATGCTGTCAAAGCGTTTAGTCCTTTATTAGCAAGGACTTTGAAATAAGATTGATATATTCAAGTACATCAGAAGTGTAAGCCACTGAAACAGAATGAAAGCTGCTTTTGAAATGTGGAGTAAGTCCTTGTTACACTTTGAGGGTGTGAAGGATGGCTACTTAACATCTTCTTTTTGTGCTACTGCTACAGTAAGTGGGAAAACATCATTTAAACCTGAAGTGTAATTTTTTTCTTTTTGTTATTTTAGGTTGTGGCACTCTGAAACATAACCTCCACAGACATGGCATCTCTAGGCAGTCTCTTTATGTGGATGTTAATATCAAGCTGCCAGAGTAACTGCTTGCAACCTGGAGGTCTGAGGAGGGTTCTTGGGGGAGATCTGTCCAGGCAGATTGAGAAGAACCGCTCTGTCTGTGGAAGCTGGAGTTCGCTTCACGGTTTGAGGACAGCAGTGAAGACGCTGAATGCCACTCAGGCCAAGGCCAGGCTGATTTGCTGCACAACAGAAGTGGCAAAAGAAGCCATGGCAGAGACCCCCGCAGCTTCGGGCGGGAAATACAACAGCTTTTCAGATCTACAGCCGGTTACCAGGTACAGTCAACTGCACTCATAATAGTCACAGAAAAGCCAGCATGAGACAAGAAGCAGAATTCTTCTTGTTCATTTCTGTTGAAGATAGATTCAGTTGGCTTAAAAGAATGATTCAAGGGTGATGTTTGCCCACTTTAATTATACCTTGTTCTTTTTCTCTATTATATCTAAGTTCTGTCATATAAATGGCTTTCCAAGACTGTTTGGCAGAGTGCAGTGTCCTTGCAACGGAGGATACAATATCCAAACAAGGTATGTTCAATAGCTTCCTCCAGACACACTGTAAAAAGAGAAAATATGGCTCTGCAAACTGCAAAAGATTGCAAAGAATGTTCAAAATTAAATATGCAGCACAATAGCTGACACTGAGATAAAATACATTGTTTATTAGATATTTAGTCCATTTTGGGCCTCCTCGGTTTGACTAGAACTGTTTGTGTTTTGAGAAGTGCATGAAAGCCAAGTAGTGTTTAGTTTTGATTGTCACCCGGCTATTAGAACAACTCCTACAAATTGAGCTCTTTGGGAGTGATTGCAAGACATCTAATCAGTGACTAAGCCTTATCCAGATGTTTGCTAATGCATTGATTTTTTTCCCATTCTTGAATCACAAGTCATCTCCAGAAAGGTGTAATCATGGTAAATTCAGGCTTTATACCTCTCTTTCTATGGTTCACTTTCAGATATTTGTACTGATAAGTTTTGATGTGTTATTCTTCTCTACCACACTGAAAGAACTATCACATCTTGTCTCTCTCTACTCTCAAAAAAGGCCTCTTGTGGGGCTCTGTACCATTGCCTTAGTCAAAATCATTTGCTTCATGTTGCCTCATTCTTGACAGATCAAAACATTTTTTGCAGCAAGGGCAGCATATTGTACACGCTATTGTGCATTAATATTCCCTAGCTCTTATAGTTTGCTGAATATGACTTCTTTTGATGGCCTACCAATGTTCAGAGTGAACGATAGAAATGGCTGGAATTCTGATGCTATTTGTGAAAACGTTGCTTCACCAACTCTAAGCGGTTCAGTCTTTTTCGACCTCCAGCTTCCTTAACAATATCTGGAGGTTGACTGATTTAAAGTTGCTCTTGGAGCTTTCATGAGCCATTTGTTTCAGTCCTTGAAACTATTTTGTGGAAAGAAGGCTTATAAAGAGGAATAAAAGAAGAGAAATTAATGGTTTTCCCTGTTAAGAGGCTTTGGAAGAATCTTATGTATAAAAACACTTGTGATGTTTCCAACCAAGCGCACATGTGGTTAGCTGGTAGTAGTAAAAAAAGCAAATACAGTTCAAATACATTGTTTTCATTCTGCAATTAGTTTGACAGACACTTTTATGCACAGTTTTACTTCTCAATCTCTAAAATCATGTCACATCACCTTGTGATTTTTTTTTCTGGCACTGTCAGTTAGTGCGAAAGAG